TCCCCCGCCTTGGCTGGCCCCCCGGCGGGCAGCCCCAGCTTGCTCCCGGGTGTCTCGGCATCCGTGGCCCCATTTTCTCCATCCCTAGGTTGTCACCACTGCATAAACCCGTCTCGGGCTGTCTCCTGCCACCTCCGCCTGTCCCTGCCTGCCCTCTCCGACCACAGCTTGTCCCACTCATCTCCTGCCCTCCGTCCTCTCCTGAAGCTCAGCCAGCACTGGTTCCCCGTGGTCCTTCTGTGCCTTTGCCATCTCCCCATCCCCAGCATTCCAGGGGGTCAGGCTGCCTCTGCTCCTCATCCTTTCTCTCGCCAGCACTTCTCATCTCCCTGTCTGCCCTGGGATTAGGCTGATGTTGATCCACCCTCTTCCCTCTCCGTTGGTAAACAGCTTTGCTTCTCCTGCTAACGCCTCGCGCCGGGAGAGCTCTCCCTCCAGCTGCTCCACGTCTCGGGCGGTCTCGGCCCTCCGCTGTTTAGCCAGAGCTTCCTTATTTCAATTACTTCAGTAGGATCTGGCCAGAGCTGCAGGAGCAAGAATTAATGTTCTCTGGCAACGAGATCTCCTCTCCATTTCTTATCCTCGCGGGAGCCACCTCTCTGCTCCAGACCAGCCTGGCTGGAGTAATTACACGGTGATCCCAGGTCAGGATTGGGGAAGGTGAAGGTGCTGGCTCCAGCAATCGCTTGCAGGACCATGTGCTGGGATGGGCTTTCAAACATGGGAGTTGATGGCTGGAGGGCGTAGAGGTCGTTCTGCTCCAAGAGTTTACTTTCAGATGTTTTGCTTCCACTTTGTCCCTGTCTGAGGGGAGTTTCCCACGTTATGCCCCGTGTCATTGCTCTGCAGCTTTTCGTGGGGGCGAAGTCTCAGCTTGTGATGTTGTCCTCTCCTGCTCGGCCACCGCAGTGGCAGATGCCCGCCTGATGTTAATGATGTTACCCTGCCTGCTCCCACCCCTCCGAGATGTAGTCGGAGGCCCTGTGGCCCTCCTTCCCCCTTTCCTGGTGTTTGTCTTTCTCCTTCTACTTTTCCGTGGCCTCCAGATTGTTCACAGCCTCCTCTCACGCTGCCAGGGCTCCATTTTCTCCTTCCCCTTCATTTCTGTCCACCTCTCTCCCACCATCCATCAGCATCTCTCCCATCTCTTACGCTTTTAGATACCCAGCTCTGTCTTCTGGCTGGTGCTATCCTCGTTCGCAGAAGAAGCTTCCCAAGAAGCCACCTTCTCGCCCACCTTCTCGCCCACCTTCTTGCCCACTCAAATTCTCTTGCAATTGCTGGACCTGGCACTGCATCCTCCACTTCTCCCCCAAAAACCACTCCACCCACCTACGGCATTTGCATCCTCCATGTTGGGTGGATGATTTCGTTCCTTTTTTTTTTTTTCACACAAAGGGTCAGGGCCTCTGGGCACTACTGCTGTTCCAGATAAATACTGATAATGCCTATTGCTGCTCTCCAGACCAAGGACGTAAGGACTTTGTCAACCTCGCAGTACCTTTGATCCCCCATTCATCATCTTGGGCTTCCCGCCCTTATCTTCGTGGGACACACTTCCAGTATTCAGCAAATATTTGATTTCCTGTGAAGCGAAGTAGAAAAGACCTTTTCCCTTTTTTTTTTTTTATTTTATTTTAAAATACCTTTGGCACCGTGCGGACGCGTTCCATTCCAAGAAAAATAAAGGAAAACTGTTCTGACTAAATATAGATCAAAAGATGCTTGTGAGCTGCCTCTTGCATCCCGGGCTGAGAGCGCTTTCGTCTCCGAGGCCACCCGGGCTCTTTCGACCACGCTTCTGCCCTGCCCTGTAAACTCTCCGTGTTCCCTCCTCCGCTCCAGGCAAGCTCTGCCTCCGTTCCGCTCGGCTTCTGGCTCCGCTCGCAGCCTGGCTCAAGGGAAAGATGCTGTTTTTAGAATACTACGGAGATCTTCCAGTAGCGAGACTACGTTGTGCATATTTCATCCTTTCCCCTCTGGGATTTTTTTTAAGCCCTTTTTCGACTTTTTCTTGCAACACCCCTTGGAGCAGGTTCTGTTACTTGGCTTTGTAGCTGAGCGCATCCAAGGGGGGGCTGACTGGAATTACTGGATCTTGAGTAGTCTCAACCAGCACGGCTCCCTCTCAGCTGCGGCGTGGCAGCTGCAGCGTCGGCTCCGACGTGGTCTCGGGAGCGCCCACCGAGTCTACACAAAGTCATAGAATCATAGAATGGTTAGGGCTGGAAGGGACCTTCAAAGGTCATCTAGTCCAACCCCCCTGCAAGGAACAGGGATATCTCCAACTAGATCAGGTTGCTCAGGGCCTCAAGCCTGTCTCATTTGTCGTCATAGAACTCCTGGTGCAGCGGGTCTTCCTTGGGTTGGAGGGTTGCGCAAGGGTTGCCGCAGTGCAGATACCCATGAATGTTAATAATGGTAAAGCAGAGGAAAGATAAAAACAGAGCTCCTTGTCCTTTCTACTATAGACCACATGGCTTGTTTTGCAAAGTTAACTGAAGATGAAGTTAATTTAAGATTAACTTAAGTCAAGGATCCAGGACTGAGACCTTCAGTAGATCTGTTGACTGCCAGAGTATTGGCCAACTTGAGTCCGTGCGCGTATGACTCTCAAAGCCCTCGCGCAGGACATGGTCACCAACGGTTACGCATCAGCAGGGCACTAACTGGGTGCTAACCGAGGTGGCGCTTGTTTTTGCCCGCAGGTGTTTGTGCTGTGCCATGGGCTTCTCCAGCTCTCCCAGCTCCTCTACAGTGCCAACTTCAAGAGCAGCCTCACCACCATTGAGAAGCGCTTTGGGCTCTCCAGTCTCTCTTCAGGTTTCATCTCCAGCTTGCACGAGGTAACTGGGTGAGAAGCTTGTGCGGGGACCCTGAGGGTTGGCCAGAACATGGAGAGGACCTTCACAGAATAGGGTCTCAGGGTTGGTGCTTCCTCAGCCGTGCCTGCACAGCTGTTGCTGTGCACTTGAACACCTCTTCACACTTCACCTGTCCTGTATCACATGCCAGGAGGTTGAACATAGGGTTATGTGGTGAGGACATGTCCTTGGAGGGCAGCAGCAGAAAGCAGGTTGCTTCAGAGGAGACCACTCCACCCTGGGATGCCACACATCTCCAGCAGACCCATTACTGGGAGACAGAAGACCTGTAATATGACTCTTCTCTGATCACAGTTTTTACTATTTTTGTGAAGAAGAGCATTTTATTGCAAGTAGTATCCATACAGCTATGGCTCTGTGAGCAATCTCCAGTGAAAGTATCTGTTTTCATAGGTTTCTCATTGGCTTTAGGAATGACCCTGGCCTGAGTCATTCCAAGCTTCCTCTAAAAGGAGGCCCTGACCAGCACACTCCAAAATCCAGCCCTTTTCTCCAGTGCTCCCAGCTCCTGGTGGCCCTGAAAGGACTGACTTTCACTGGCACGTTGCTGAGCAGGCTGAGGATTTTCTCGCAAACGCTTTCTAATCACTCCTCTGGAATAAATTTTCTAGTTCACGTTGTCACAAATCCTATCCTTTCTGGTAGATATTCAAGGTCGACTAGGAAGAGACCTGCTGGCAGATGCTTTCTGTTGATGGCACAGACAAAGAAGTGCTTGGTGGCAGCCCACCTTGTATACAGCTGGTCTTCTCGCATGGGATCCTCCACCAAGAGGTGGGAAGCACTGGGAATCCTCCTGGGTCCTTGGGGAAGTAGATGCCCAGATCTTACCTCAACCAGCACCTACCTCTGGGGTAGGTTCAAAACCTCTTGAGATTGTGCCACTGATGGTGACTAGGTCCAAACAAAGACACCCAATGTGGTGACGATGAACTGGCATCATTAAGCCCTGCAAAGTATCTCCGAGCTCTAACCCATGTGCTCCTTACCCACTAGAAAATGAACTTACTGGTGAGAATTCATGCCTGGAGAAGCGACGCCGAAGCAAACACGGTGTAGAGCAGTCTGTTTCTGCGGGAGTATAAAAGGAAAAGGATTGGCGTAGGACACGTGCCACGCTGTTAAAGAATAACCACCTGCAAACAACAGAGACATCTTTATTTCTCTGCTTTACGAGAGGAATATCCGCGCTTGACTCCAGCTCTGTGCGAGCTGCCCTGCCCGGCCGGGACCACAATCTTTTCGCATCGATGGCTGCAGCAATTCCAAGAACAAAAACCAGAGAGAGGCAAACAAGGGAGCCCGTTGAAACATAAATAAAAAGTATTCTTAGCCGAGGTTAAAATAATGTTTAGCTTGTCCCGAGGAGTTGGCTTGCTGGCTGTTGATGAGGAGGGAGCGCTGACTTGCTGTGAACGTGCAGGGTGAAGGGCTGTCCCATCCCCGCTCTTGTGGGGTCAAACACCACCTGGTATCAGAGCTCTCCACCCACCTGGACACAGTCCCAGGGGACTGGTTATAAGGTCTTGACTTCCTCCGTGACGTCTCCTAACGTTTTGCTGTGCCCTTTCCAGATCGGCAACGTGGTCCTCATCATCTTCGTCAGCTACTTCGGCAGCCGAGTTCACCGCCCGCGGGTGATCGGCGCTGGGGGGCTGCTGCTGGCGCTGGGCGCGTTCCTGGTCACCCTGCCCCACTTCCTGTCAGACCCCTACGAATACACCACGCTCAGCGCCGGTAAGTGCCTCCACCCTTATCGCCATGAGCTGTCCCAGCACAAGGCCATCTGGGTTGGGTCTGGGTTGGGTCACCCGTGCCTACCCAAAAAGAGCGTCCGGCGCAATTCAAACGCGGTGTTTGGAGGGAAAGACTCAAGGCAGAGGTTGGCTGGTTTAAGCCTGACTTCGGTACAGTTTTGGAACCCTTTCTGAAGGTGATAATGACACGTGGCGTCCTTTCCGTCTCTTCTGCGTGCGTCGTTCGAGCTGTTCTGCGTGGTTTCGGGTGCCGAGTGCTGTGGTCATGATGAAGTACCAAAACTCCTCATAGATGGTCTTGAAGGCCTCAAGAGGGAGCAGTCTGTGCTTCAAGTTCAGCAGCCAGGATCTCCTCTCCAGGCTGCTGAGACACCTCTCCCTCCTATCAGTAGGGCTAAGACCCCTGACATAGCCATCATCCCACATGGACGTGCCACCCTAGGAATATTCATAAGGAAGTTCCACATTCAGTGAGAGAGCATGTCCTTCCACGTAGATACTGTAAAATATACTTTTAACTAGCTCGATAATGTCATTTTTAATATATTTCTCTCCTGGCTGTGCCCACCCATCTCTCTCACGCCACGTCCCCGCCTTCTGCGCGGGTGGTGCGTGTCCTTCCAGCCTGCTCCTGAGCATCCTGGACATAAGTTTGCTTTCTGTGGCGTCAGAAGAGCCTCAGCTCCACCTCTGCCTAGTGATGACAGCGTCGTTACTAATGATGACATGTCGGTTAGCTATCCAAAACGCCAGCCGGGGAGGGGAACCAACTGCAAGCAGTGAACTTGGGGCAAAGCCCTGGGATGTAGGAGATGCTGGTTCTGCCACTGATGTCCTGGGTGGTTGTGGACAAGTCATTTCACTTCTGGCTTTTTTTATTTGGAGGGCACTGGTGTGTTTCCTGAGAGGTCTCAAAGGCTCTAGAGGACCTTGCTACCGAGGCTTTGTGCTTTTCTGAATGCTGACCTGGATTGGCACCGGAACTTGCCGTGTCAGTCTTGTTTGGATGGCCCTTGTCTGCTCAAGAAGTTAACAGCTACGGCACTGTAGGTCAGTGCCACCAGCTCTGGGGGCAAAGCAGCTCATCTGGCTGATAAGAAGGCTTGAAAGTGTGGTCTTCATGTGTGTGTCTGTCTCGTTGCACTGGGTAGGCTTTGACCTTCTTCTCCTGCCTCTTGGTTTTTGCATGTGGGTGTGTGACAAAAGACATTGCTCTTGGTGGTCTCGCTCTCAGCTGAGAGCTGCAGCCCTGCTGGAAGCCCAGGCTTGGGCCCCAGTGCAGCTGGTGGTTCACCTATAGGACTTATAGGAGAGGAATGTTATCTTTACTGGAGTCACGGAGGTGTTGCAGCATGGGAAGTGCTCCCTGCTGCTGGGCGCTCTGTCAACATCTCATGTCCCCGGGACTTGTTTTGCTCTGGCCTTACGATCCCTACTGAGGAGGGCTGCTGGATTTTTTGGGGCAGGCTTTGGGAACGAGCTGGCGTGTACGATGGCAGCTCCAGTTTCCGAGCAGAACGCAATAGGCGGAAGAGCATGCGTTGCGTGCCGCAAGGCTGGCTTGGGTCTTCCCAAAGTGACTTCAGCCCCTAAATCCTCAGGATGCCCATAAGCTTTAGCCTCCTTGGGGACTGCCACCTCTGAAAACCCGAACTCCTCTCGTTTCCATGCCAGGTTGCGGTCATGGGCAGTGCCAGCCCAGGGAAAGTCTTCCACCCCTAGTTAGAAGGTGCTTTCTCTGGAAAGGCCTTGAGCCCTGTGCGTTGCATCCTAGTCTGATCTTCTGGGCACCCTGAGCCCTGGCTGTGCTGCGGAGCTGCTGGGTGGCCTTTGGCAAGTCGCTCCCTTTAGTTAGATACTGGTTTTGCTGCAGCACAATGGGATGGAGACCCCAGATGGGGAGCAAAGCACAACGAGGACAGAGCTGCTGGTGGGTGCCTGACAAGCTCTGCCACCACCAAAGGGTGAGAGATCCCCTGGCTTTGCTTTCCCACAATCTGCTCCGGGAAATCTGGCACCACCACGGTCCGGATACCACGAAACGTTAAAAATGATGACCCAGCATGGGGCTGAGAGCGCCCCAGAAATATGAGGACCAGCTGTCTGATGGCTCGTGGCTGCCTCCCTGCTACCCAGCTGCCAATGGCTCCGTGTTTTTCGAATCAGCCAGTTTGGAGAGTGTATCAGGCATCAGATGCCAAATTTTCTGACACCTTAAACTTATGCATCAGGCTGTGAACTGGTCAGGATTTGGGACGGGGGCTGCTCCTACTGTGAAGCAAACAAATCGGAGGAGCAGGTATCATCCTGCTCCCTGCCCGGAGCCGTATGTGTCTTGGCCCGGTATTTACAGCCCATGAAGATACTCCAAGCCCTGGTTGGAGTTTGCGTCGCAGTCTGGAGCAGGGCGAAGACCTCCATGTGTCTGAATGGAAGTAAGGTCCTTGATTTGTACGGAGGTGGGTTACTCCTAAGCAATGAGAGCAACAGAGATTGAATCATAGAATCACAGAATGGTTTGGGTTGGAAGGGACCTCAAAGATCATCCAGTTCCAACCCCCCTGCCATGGGCAGGGACACTCTCCACTACACCAGGTTGCCCAAAGCCCCATCCAACCTGGCCTTGAACACTTCCAGGGATGGGGCAGCCACAGCTTCTCTGGGCAACCTGTGCCAGTGCCTCACCACCCTCAGAGTGAAGAATTTCTTCCGTAGATCCAATCTAGATCTCCCCTCTTTCAGTTTAAAGCCATTGCCCTGCGTCCTGTCACTACCCACCTGTGTCCAAAGCCCCTCTCCAGCTTTCTTGGAGCCCCTGGCTCCTGGAAGGTCTCGCCGGAGCCTTCTCTTCTCCAGGCTGAACAGCCCCAACTCTCTCAGCCTGTCTCCATAGCAGAGGTGCTCCAGCCCTCGGATCATCTTCATGGCCCTCCTCCAACAGCTCCATGTCCTTCTGTGTTGGAGGCCCTGAGCTGAACACAGCACTGCAGGGGCGTCTCAGGAGAGCAGAGCAGAGGGGCAGAATCCCCTCCCTCGCCCTGCTGCCCACGCAGCTCTGGATGCAGCCCAGGACACGGTTGGCTTTCTGAGCTGCCAGCGCATGGTGCCAGCTCATGGTGAGCTTCTCATCACCCAGCAGCCAGGTCACCCCTGCCCAACTACCTTAAGTGCGTGAAGACCATCGGCACTGGCAAGCCGGCCATGGATAAGGAGGCTCTTTCTGCCTGGCACCGTGGACCCTTTAGACAACGCGGCATCTAGTGGACTTACGTAAGGATTTTTTGCCCTCCTACTGGGAATGTGCTCCGCACTGCGCCAAAGAAAACCCCTCATCACCCGGCAAATATTTGGGTTTGTTTTCTGTCTGTTTGCTCAGAAGTGTAGAAAATCCACAGTTATTACATTAAGGAGAAAGATGTGATAGGGATGCTGAGCCAGTTACAAATAATAAAAAAAAAAAAAAGAGAAGTGCTGATCCCTCCCAGGAGAAATTAATTTGCTTCCAGCTTTTCTGATCAGCCCGTCTTTCAGAGTTTGATTAAAAAAAAAAATAAAAATCAGAGCCTGGATGTTTGCTTCGCTGACCTCAGTATGATGCCCCAAAAGGAAGGGAAAAGTGATGTGAACTGCTAAAAAAAAAATGTCCAAAATCCAACAGTATGTGCTTACTCAGCAAATTTGGGAGATTCCTGGGATTTAGGGATTTAGTGCGGGAGGAGGCGGAGGACGTGCCCGGCGTTTTAATGCTCGTTCTTCTCCCTTTCAGGTAACAAGAGCCATGTCCAGGCTGAACTCTGCTCTGCAGAGAATAAGATTGTGTGCCCAAACACCACCCAGGATCCTCAGAAGGAGGCCAGCAGCATATGGGCCATGATGGTCATCGCCCAGCTGCTGGCCGGAATCGGGACGGTTCCCATCCAGCCCTTTGGGATATCCTACGTAGACGACTTCGCAGAAGCAAACAATTCCCCGCTCTACGTTGGTAAGTGGGACCGTTGCTGTATATGGGTTTGTTTCCTCCAGACCTCGGCGGTGAGACGTAGAGGTGGGGTGACGTGAGGTGCTCATCTGGAGAAGAACCTGTGGGCACAGGTTGAGCAGCCAATGGGACTCAGATGAGATCCTCCCCCACTAAAAGGCCGAGGTCTCTCTCCCCTTGATAGTCAGTTGTTCTCTGTAGGGTTATGTTCATGGTGTGGATGTCAGGAAGCTAAAGGATCAGGACACAGAGATGAGATGGATGAGCTGGGACATCTCCCTTGCGTCTGTGAGAACTTACACCATCCACAGTGGGAATGAGTAGTAAGGAAATCTCCTGAGAAGCCATCTCCTACTTATTGAGCATGGGTTGATCATGGTTTAACCAGAGGTATGACATCCAGCAGGAGACTGGTATTGCATCAAGGTAGTGGGAATGAGTAGTAAGGAAACCTCCTGAGAAGCCATCTCCTGCTCTTATTGAGCATGGATTGATCATGGTTTAACCAGAGGTACGACATCCAGCAGGAGACTGGTATTGCATCAAGGGTTCAAAATCAACGGGGTTTTTTTGCCGTGGAAACGGTCCCTGCCTGGTGGAGGCTCCCAGGCTCAGGAGGACCTCTCGATTGCAAACAGAGAGGTGCTGCCTTCCAGGTTAAACTACAGGTTTCTTTTATTCCCTGAAAATGGCAAAAGCCATCCGGCGCTGGCCCGTCTACCCGAGCTTTGGGCTCAGTCCATCAGTTACTTAAAAAATCCCGATTCCTCCTGGTGCCAAACAATGTCTTAAAGCAGCCAAAGGCGTCAGAGTGATTTAGGAGTCGACAGCGGATGTTCCAAAATAAGGTAAGTGCTAAAGGAGGAGGAAAGCCTTCGGGATTAGACTCCCAAGGACAGGCTTTGGCCAAGCACTGAAGTGCTTGGCAGGGTCTGCAGACCCACCCAGGCGTGTTTTGCTCCAGGCTCCTGCTGCAAAGGGCTGCTCCACCGCCCAAGAGCTCTGCGGGAAGTCTCCGTGCGGGTAGTACTGGCTTGTCTGAGCTCAAATACAGTGGCTCAGGATAGCAAAATGAGGGACTGAGCATCTTCGTCCTGCCCCTGCGGCGAAGGGTCACCCTTCCCAGGACCTCCACGTGCCCTTTGAATTCCCAAACCTGCAGGTCCTGATGATGAAGGAGAATAGGAGTGGCTTGTTCTTTATAATATGGGTGGTCACTTTAGGGCCGTGGGAATGTCCGTGTCGGAGGGTATGGTGTGGTGAGTGTGGATCACCTCAACACAACGTAGATGCCATTGCCCTTTGAGTCTTGTCTCGGTTTAGGTCTTGGCATCTTCCTATGGAAGGGAACACTGCTGTCCATGTATGAGGTTAAATGCTTCTCCTCTGAAGACGCTGCCCTTTGGTACTTAGGTTTCTGTTGTAGAAACAAGGCACTGCCTTGCCTAATTGGGAAAAAAAAAGCTTTTAAAATAGGTGCAGAGCTGAGGCGTAGCGGTGGGATCAGGCGCTTCCGTACTCAGCGCGCTCAAAGGCTCCATCCAGACCGGCAAAACGCACAGAAACGGTCAATGCGGTTCAAGAGAACCGTCTCCTTTGGACCACCTTGTGCAAAGAGTTTCCTTCAGGGAGGAAACGTGAATCCGTTCGTTCCAGAGAGGTCGCAAGGAAACATCTTGACCTTGCGGGTTAGGTCCAAGCTCTCTATTTTTTGAACAGGATGGTAAGAACCGCTGCCCTTCTTGCTCCCAGCACCTTTCACCTCCCCTGAAGTTTGCACCAAATGTTTTTGCTGGGACCTAAGAGCTGGGATGTGTTTGGTTCCTTGGCCTCCCATAGGAGATTAAGGTCTCCATCACCTGCAGGAGCCCAGGATGCCACCGTCCTGCTGCTCCCTGGGCTTCCCCCCTCTCTCACCGTGAGTCTTGGATATTCCCGGGGTGGCTGACAACTTTTAGCGTGTTGGCAAAGCCCTGGTAGCAGCAGAGCAGAGGGATTTTTTTCTGCCTGTCCTCCTCCTGATCCTGTTGGAGAGATACCACATTCAGTATCTGAGCAATGAGGGTCTCCTCATCATCTACCACTTGATCAAATCCAAGCTCCTGTTCCCCTGCATCCAAGCTCCTGTTCCCTGCTCACACTGGTGCTCTCTGCTCCCTTTTTTTCAGCCATCCTCTTCGCCATCGCCGTGTTCGGCCCTGCGTTTGGATACCTGCTGGGATCCGTGGTGCTGCGGCTCTTCGTGGATATTGGAAGAGTTGACGTTGGTGAGTATTTCTCAGGTAGTGATGGTCCTCCTAAAAGCTTTCTTTTAGTGAGTCAGAAGATCGCTCCAAGATGACTGGTGGCAGAAGCCACCA